GTCAGCTGTCCTGGCTGTCCCTCCCAGCTTCCCGTGCACCCCCAGCCTTCTTGCTGGCAGGCCAGCACAAGAAGCTGGACTGTCCTTGACTACTTAGCAACAACCCAAAACATCAGCACCTGATCAACAGTTTCTCATCCCAAATCCAAAACATATCCTCACGCTAGCTTCTGTGAAGAAAACCAGCTCTATCCTGGCTGAAACCAGGACAAACGGTGACAAAAGCAATTCTGACAACTTAACAAACATATCAACAAAACCATTGTCTGTGATTCGCCTTTATTTGCATGGCTGTGACCATGAAAAGAAATATAGTGACGAGTCAGTACACTCACTGGAAATCAGCATTTTCATTAGAATAATTATTCTGTGAGCCTGTTCTCAATTATCACCAGTTTTAACCCAAAGGCACCTTTTATTAAGGTAAAAAAGTTTCAATCATTTAAAATAGACTTCTGCAGAGTGTCAAAATACAACCAAGAGAGAAAAGATAGCTTGGAGAAGGACATGTCAACAGCTGAAATAACCAAGATAGCAGAGAAAGCATGAAACAAACAGAAGTTGAGTCAATGCCAGCAGCAGCTAAATGCCCAAACTCAACTGAACAAAGCATCCCCTTTACGTGCCTGCTGAGAATTATTCTCAGTTCCAGATTTGCTCTCTATTGCACTTTAAGGATGTTTTTTTCCACTCTCTCAGTAGTGCTTCTCCGCAGTACTAATGCAACCTTTGAAGGTAAATTTATCAAAGCATCATTCCAAATTCATCCATGAAAATGACAACAAACAGAGCCTCAACCTTGCTTCTGAACCAGCATGGTCATAGCAGAATGGCAACTGTTAAGCAGCTAACTTCTCAACTTCCTCTCCACCTTTAAATTATCCCATTTTTTAATATTTCTGCCAGCAAGTTAGAAGACTTACCAGGAACAAGGTAATCCTGGTATTAATTACTGCTGCCATTCAATTAGCCTAAGTGGGGCTACAAGACTTACAAGGAAAATAATGGTGTGGATAAAGTCTTTGAAAAAGCATTTCGCTAGAAAAATTAATGGTCCTGTCTTAACTAACAATTTGAGTCAAAGTTGAGTATCGTGTCTACACTGGCACGATGTTGAACATAGTGGTTCCTATTTATACTGACAGCAAACAATTAATCATTGCACTAGAAAACAACCTTTGAGGTTCTCTTCAGACACACCTACTCTTCAGAGGCAAGCTGCTAGGCAACCTCTGTAGCATTAATTACAGGCCCTTAGACAGGTTGGTGTCTGGCAAAACACATTCCCCAGCTGAAGCAAACTTGCGGAATCCAAAAGAAGTCAAGTGTAGCTGTCTCTCTCTCGTTAACTGACACAGTCCCAAATTTATGGTTTTCTACACATGAATTATTTTTCCATAGTTACACCAGCGAACTCCACCAGGAAGTTCTCTTTCCAGTATAGTTTAAAATGGTCACAGAAATTCAAAGAACTATACCAGCACAAGACTTCTTGTTTTTAGTAACTGTACCACAGGAGGGCTTCTGCTACAACAGAGATCTCAGGTTATGGGGTTTTTTAGGTTTGTTTTGGGTTTTTTCCTCCTCTTTTTTTTACATTCCTTATGAGTTTAGCTGCATCTGCAGAAATTTACAGATTAGATTTATAAAGAACATTTTATAAATGGTTCTCTTACTTATCTCAACTTGATAACATAGATTGCACCTCATGAAAATAACACAACGGAAGTAAAAGCACATCACTTAATTATGATTAAGGTCTACAGTTATAGAAGTTTTTTTCTTTCCATACATTCATATATCAAAATGAAAATCAACTGGCAAGACAAAAATATAGATATGCATTAAAGACTAAGTTATAGCAGCTTCTTTGGCACTCAAATGTCAAGAATATCAGTTTTCATTTCCTCTTTAGCATTTCTTTGAAAAACTTGAGGATGTGATATGTCAAAATATTAAACCTTAGTAACAACCTAAAACGATGAGAAAAAAAACCACAAATGAAAGGAAGACTTCTTTTCAATAAACCCAAGCAACTTAATGTGTAAATTCACTTATAAAGATAAAATCCCTGATATAAAACAAACCCACAACACCACAAAGACGGCAAAAGCTTTTTTTCAAATCCCACTTAATTTAACAGTAAGAGATGGAATCATAAATGGATGTCAGCATTACTATTCTTTATATTGCTATACCAAAAATTTTGACTGAACTAACGATTGTGTATGGCTGAGTGGATACTTCACCTCCTGACAAATCAAAGAAATATGAATTAGTGAAAAGCAATCGTGTCATCATAAGCTTGACTGAGAACTGTCTCTTCAGACCAAATGTCAAAACCAATACTTAAATAGTTAATAGTAAAAAAAAAAAAGGCTACCTATGACAGTTTTGAGAATTGAATTTCTTGTAAAACTTGTCACAGAGCAATACTACTTCACTTTAACAACCAATAGTTCTGAATAGCCTTCCGACATAATCTGATATTGAATCAGACCAAGCAGAACAGAGGGGAAAAAAAAAAAAAGAAAAAAGCATCAGATGCAGAGGTACTGAAAATCCACAAGTCCTAGTTCATCAGTATCCCTGAAAGTCAGTCTCAAAATGCTTTTTGAAACTACATAAACTTAGCAATATTCTTTAATTTCTAATAAAATAGTTCACATAATTCTTATATGGCAGAGGAACATAACAGAAGTTAATCATTAAAAGGCATCAATTTAAAAAGCAACCTCGTGAGAGCTGTAACCTAGCTACAGTTAAACAGCATTGTTTTAAAAGCATTTGTAAGTTACTCATCGCCACAAGACCGGAGAACCGTTTTTTCCCCCTATATACTGAAAGACAAAACTGACCTTGTGAACTTTCAAGTCTTTCTTCTCTTGATATATAGAGGAAAACAGGTCCCAAGAAGAGTTTGGAGACAAAAGTCAGTAATTCCCTATCTTAAAAAAAAAGCATTTTATCCCTTTTGGTGCTTAGGAGGAAACCTGTAGCAACAAGACAACACTAATCACTGGCAGCATCCTATCATCTATACCATTTACGGTGCTCAGTATATAAAAATAGTAGGCTTCAAATTACAGGATAACAGGAGTGGATAAGAGAGAGGCATTAGAGTGCTGCTACTCACATTAATCATATATATTGATTGAATACTGAATGCCTTTTCAGTTTGTCTGACAAATCAGAATGGCTTCGGTAACCCCTTGCTCAAATGTGTGTTCGGTCTCATTCTCTTTTAAATCATTCATTAAATCTCCTGGGAATACACAAAGGCTTTCTCTCCTGGCTGTCCTCACAGATTTCTTTGCTTGCCAAACGTTCAGGTGCCCTGTCATCCTCCCATTAACACCTTACTGATCTCACAGGAAAAACCTGCAGTGAATTTAAAAATCCCTTTCTATATGCCTGTAAAATAATCCCTCTCTGCTGTTTTACTGCAGGTGAAGGGAGCTGTTCTTCATGGGAGTCATGCGTTACGTGCCCTTTGAGAGCAAAAGTGACAGCTAATGTCACAGGAGATACCATCCTCGCTCACCAAGTTTAACCTCGGGTACACCTACATAGTTATGACATGCAGGAGCTACTGACACATACTGAGTCGACTTGGTTTGAACTTGTCTTTACAGATAAGACATTAACATTCTGACTGTGCATAAAGAAAGCTGGCGAATGGTAGTTTTCTAAAAATAGCTACATGGAGTGTCTAAAAACACCTTCTCAGTGTTCCATACCTGCTCTCAATTGCATCTTGTTTGCCTGCTAGAGAGAAACATAACTGCAAGTACTACAGTCATGTAGACAGATAAAAATCAAGGTGAGTTGCATTCCCTGCCTGTATTATATCATCCATAACAGTTTTGGATTAAAGCTTAGTTACTATACTAGTAACCTTTTTTTCACATTTGGCTGAGTAAGATTACAGTACAGTCTTCCCAAAAATATACTGAATGAAACAACTTAGGTCAAGTGTTTCAGGTATTTTTAGACTACGCACTAGAACAAATACTGCAAGATTATTCTTACAGTTCACATTCTGAGTCCATTTGTACTTGAAAAAGTCATCTTAGACAACGCTCCCATCACAGATTATGATGAAAATTTCACTGAACTCAAAAGAACTATTTGGGAGTCTGGGAGGGAAGCCATGTCTTACAGTCCTTCATATAGCATTAACCCTGAGAAAGTTTCAGCCAACACAGTTCAGTTCTGAGATGCCGAACAAAAGACTATTTTCAATTATCAATACATCACAGATTTCAGGATTACATCCTTAAAATGGCTAAGGGTAACTTCTTCAAATTCTTGTAAAACAAACAAACAAACAAACAAACTTTCATGTAACATTACAACATGATCCACTTTCTCAAAAAAACCCAACCCATGCATCTGATAAAACTTAAGCACATGAAATAGATTAATAAATAAATGGCTGCGAAACAAGGAACTGAGTGATACAAAATAAGGCAGCAACATTTCCCAAAGAAACACTTCTGTATATCTAATTATCAAAAAAGTCAGTGGCATAAACTGATTTCTCAGTTGTGTAGACACATTCTGCTGTATAATGTACCTTACAAAAATATTGCCCATTCAATACAAGAATTTAAGTGTCTGCAGAACTAGAATATAAGAAAAATGGGGTGGGGGGAACTAAACTGTAATTCTGTAGCACATGGCAGAGTGAAATTAGGCAATTACATTCTGAAAGGTATGTCTCAGAACAGAATTGTTCAATACATAGGTCTCTACACATCCTTCCATTTCTAATATTGGAATTTTGTGAACATGCATGCCACGCTCAGTTGATTAAAGCAAGAAAAAAAGCCTTTGAAATTTGGCATTTGTCTCCCATGTTTCATGTTCAGTTAGACTGATGGTGATTTAGTAGTACCTTCCTCCATCTTAGCCTCTGCAGCAACTCTGTCTTTTCACCTTCTCGTATCACTTCACAATAAATGCACCTGTATTTTTCCTTATGTTGGACTAGGCACGGTATCTAGATCAAATGCTGTTGTAGTCCGAGCCACGGGCAACAAGAGCTGCTGCTGCTTCCCACTCCACTGTAAAGAAAGTAATTGTTCCAAAGAAGCCCACAGCCACCATGATCAGGAGTTGCCACTGCAGAAGGAAGTAGTTGCTGTAGAAGTATGCAACTGCAGCACAGATGGACTGAGGAGGAAAAAAAAACAAAAACACAACGTAAAAAGATTATCAGTGGAGATATCCAGGCTAGTATTACTATACAAGATTATCAAACCGACGTACACACAGTTTAATATGTAACTCTCAGTAGTATGCTTCTGTGTAAGATGTACAATCTTAAAACTTCATTATACCTCAACATATGTCTTGATGTGATATACAACAGATTTAGTTTTTACTTGTTATTTAAATAGTGTTCACTGTAGAAAATGAACACCAAATTCAAGTGTTTGTAGCATCGCAAATGCAATTCTCTGGTATTTGAAAACAGTCTGTCTAGAAACAACACTGCCAAGGCTTTAAGACAAAATCCAGAAAACTGTTTCCAGTTTTACAACATCACAAACTATTCTATATCAAAATAGCTACGGGCTTTGACAAGTGTTGCTTACTTGACATCTATGTTTTCAAGGGTAAAATTTTCATTTGAGCTGGTATAAAGAGCCTTTATATTCCATTTCTATCTCATATTCTTACATATCGCTGAGAATGATATAAAAATTAAGCCACGCACAAGAAAAAAAAAATCTTTTTGAAGCAAGCAGCTGTCATCTTTTAAACTAGACACACTCGGACCTCTGCTCCCAGCACTAGCTTGCTACTGGTATGACCATGCACGCTTTGCACCATCGTTTTCCTATCGATACCTCCGATCAACACAGACCTTGACCTGGAAAGTTCAGTACCAAATGAGATAAATGCCTGTGAGTGAAGTGATCCATCCAAAATACAGCAGTTGTATTGTATGAAGACTTTTCATCAAGTCTCCAGCTAGCATAGATGCATTTATTTTGGCATTCTGACAACTCAAGGACAGATAAACAACATTACCTAACTCTTCTGTCTGCATACCCACCTGATAACTCCTAGTGATACGATACAGCATCCACAAACTCTTCAACTAGTATTTACACAACTCATTTCCTTTTAACTTGCCCCCCTCTACCAAAGACTTCTTTGAGTAAACAAATTCAGTAAATGTTTATTTAAGTAAAATCCAAGTCTGGTTAACTGTACTAGCCTTTTGACTTTATACAATTCCCAACACTTCTAACTTCCCTCAAAACTTGTAAGTAATAGCAGTTGAACTATATAATCACACCAAGCTGTACAATCAAGCTACTCCCACCTAAAAACTTTTTCTTCTCCTGCAACAGATAAAAAAACCAGGCTGAAATCCGTGGCAGAAACAACATGATTTTCCCCAGCCCAATATTTCAATAGCATTCCAGCAGTCATACTTTCAAAAGGCTGTGTCATGTAATACCTGAACAAACTTAAAGATGGCAAAGGCAGGAGCACTGTCTTCTGAATACAGGAATCCTAAAATACTGAGGAGCTGGGTGTTAAAACAGCTGTCCCCCAAGCCCAACAGAAAGCTGCAGAATATGGCCACCTCTTTGCTGCAGGAGAAAGTGAATCAAATTTAAAAGCCGTTCAAACAGCTTACACATCTATAAACTATTTTTGGCAGACTTATTTGGAAACTGAGAATGGAAGAAAGTTATCAAACTTTAAATTTCACTGTAAAAGAACGGGGAACACATGGCTTGGCAAAAAGAACAGTTTCATCAGATTTTAATTTCTTAGTCTTTTAATGCTAAGACTTCTGTTATTGTTACCTGCAGTCAATTCTATATTGAGTTAGAACCACCAAGAGAACTTATTTTGGTTCTTGAAGTCACAAAGCCCACAAGGCAGTGATTAAAAGCTGAGACACACATGGCAAGTTCATAAAAACTGTAGGAATATTACAGAAATACCAATTCATATTGCAGAAAAATACTCCAGTTAAATAAAGAATAGTCACCTGCACAGGCACAAATGCTTAGAATTTGCAAGGTAGCAGCTGTGTCTGCACAAACTGACAACACTGTATTTTCCACACAAATTGGCAAAAATACACCGCAAAAGAAAGTTGCACTGATGAGATAAGAAAGCTCCCTCTATTCTTCCCCTAACACTGAGCAGTGTAAGAGACAGGCATAGCATGGCTCCAGTTAGATCAAGTGGACTTTGACAATGAATATTCAAAGACTTTGGAAACCTGTGCAACAGTGCAAGGCTGGTGCTCCGTGCTGCAGTAAAACTGAGCCAAACACTGTTTTAAAATATACTGAATTCCTGACACCTAGTACAATAGATGCTGGTCTCACTATTGTACTAGATATCAGGAATATCAGTTCTCAAGTGACAGAATTGCTGCCAAACATCCTCATGCTTTTTATTCTTATGCCATTTAAATTCCTAAATTGGGTGCACACTGGCAGAACATCTACCTTTAATAAAAACAGAATTCCTGAAAGCTTTTTCATGGAGTTAGTTCACTTCAGCGAAAAGCAGCTTCAAGGAATTTTCTGTCAGAGGAAAAAGCTGTTTGTTTATATACATCTTGAGTTATACCAGCCAAAGGAAAAAGTTTACATACCTTGGAATCATATAAGCAACATCATTTGTTCCTTGCATAGGCGCAATAGGTGCATCATTTGGCATGTTGAAAAAAATTAAATAAAAGGCTATGAAATGGACAACAATGCCTAGCATCACAACAGGGTTCCTGCCAAAGCGATTATTCTTGCTCAGTAAACCAAAGATTCCTCCACCTGCACGAGTGGAAAAGATTGGATAATTAAACAGAACTGAAGATGTAAAGAACAGAACCAAACTTAAAATATTGAAAAAAAGAAAATGCTGGAAACTGAAATTATAGACTTCGCCATATTGAATAACTGGAAGATTGACAGACATGAAAACAGTCCTTAAGGAGTGTGCCAGATCTGCCAGCCCCATTTGCAAGATGACATAACCTTCAGGTTGTTAGAGGTGTCTGAAATGTGGGCAGGAGATTCATCAGATGATTGCTGAGGAAGATACTTAAACTTTTTGCAAGTATTTTCCCAACAGCCACTGTTTCCTCCAGTACTGCAACAGTACTAAGTGAAAATGGATGACCTTGTGCTTAGCACTTTTAATTGCTAAAACATGCACCCCTCCATGGATCAAAGTTGCTAGTAAATAAAGACAGTGTTGTTTTTTGGTGTTCTTTTGGGTTGGTTTGTGTTTTGTTTTTTTGTGGGGGTTTTTTGTGGTTTTTTTGTTTGTTTGTGTTTTTTAAACACTGCAGGTCTTGCATTTAAACAAGAAAAATTTACTTAATGAACATTACCTGTATTCAATTTTATTCAAATACCAGATCTCAGTTAACAAAAGCTAACTTTAAGGAAATCTTTAGTGTAATACTTTAATAAATGTAAAATAGTTACATCATCACTTAAGAAATAACAAAAATATAAACAGAATACTATTTAAAAACAGAATATCAAAATGCTGAAAATACCTTAATAACATCATAGCCTAGTGTTTCTCTCACTCTAAGTCTTATGTATTTCTTTGTACTAACCCAAGAAGAATGCAAAATCTTAAGATTCATCGTCATTGGTATTTCACATTCTAGTCCACATTCTCTTTAAATGGTGTAACGTATACTTCACAGTGCAACAAGGAACCACATTGCCAATTTTATTTCTAGTATGGCATTTTTTGTTTACACAATCATTGCTGGAAGCTTGAAAGACACTATTCAGATAAATAAAAAAAAACCATTCTGTGTAACTACATCATCTTAATCTTTTTTTGTCTATAAGGTAGTAAATTTAGACTCACCTAAAATTTCTCCAACACCAATAAAAATACCAGAAAGACCAATAAGGCTTTTCTCTTCACTGCCAAACCTATTCACTGCACCAATACATGTTCCATATACTCCAGAAAAGAATGTTAATTCCAAGCCTTTGAAAGAAACCAAACAAAATTGATAGATCAACTCTTATGAAAGTTATGAAAAAATTCTTTATGTTTAAAGGCTGTTTCTCCCTAAGGTAGCTTTCAAATACATATATTTAAATGAGGTATGCATAATAGAAGCAAACAGGGAATTTTAAACTACCTAATTATGATATTCTCCCATGTCAGTTTATGAAAACTGTATTTGGAAAAACAGTGTCACTACTGTCACTTGCACTTAGGTTCAGTACTGCTTCTGTCAACACAACCCCTATATGCAGTTTAGATTTCTACTTTTCAAGAACTTTGGAATTTCATCCAAGTGAAAAGCACTATGTTAAACAACACTTAAAGTAACTGAAGAAATAAAGCACAATGTCAGTGTAAGACTCCACCCCCGCCAAAGTTATGGCATTCCTAAGAAAGTCCCAGCATCCCCAAATACTAATAAGGAGCTAAGATTCCTAAAACAGACTGCTTTTCTATACGTACATAATGAACTAAAACTCAGAAAGAACAGTGCCATTTGTTTAAAATGTTTCTTTCTTTCTATTGCCATTACCGTGAGGATAGGTAATATAGCTGAGTTCAACTGGCATGAGTATAAGCAACCAGTGCAAAAATATCAATTTCTTAATAAAAAGTATAGTTAAAGCAATGCAAAGAGTTATGCTTAGACAAAGAAAAACAGTTCAAAAATAAAACTGTTACTAATTCACTTCCTTTGTCTTTTGCTACTGCAAAAATACGGTACACCATATCCTGGTCTACCAGTAGCAGGCTACTTAACATGGTATATGAACTAAATATACCCCTCAAAAAGAGATGAACTTTGAGCAGTTGTAATAATCCACACATTAATTTAGGAAATAAAAGCTTTTGTTGGCCTTACAGGATTTTGTATTTTCCTACCTAAAGTAGCAATATTGGCCAAGAGCCACCAGATGGCAGCAGCTATTTTTTCCAAGCTGGACTGATTTTTTTTCCTGCTACTTCTAACACCAAATTTCAGATTAATCAGGCAAAAACCTGACTCACTCCCTTCCCTGGTTATCTTTCTTCACATTCCCACTGCACTAAACATCTAAGAGGAATTCAGGTAAGTTAATTTGAGTTAACACAACATTGGAGATGCTGTGAAGTAACTTGTAACTCAGATTAGTGGCTGGTGCAAGCTGAATTCACAGCTACTCCTGCTATTTCTCTACCAGAAGCTGACTGCAAACCTTGGCAGATGTTATGGCACTGTTCATAAGTTGTTCACATCTAAGTTTGTCTTTTCACCTACAAGGATTAACACAATTTTTCGTAATTGTGAACTCAGAGCTGAGGTTCTGAAGATATATCTGTTCTTTCTAACACTTAATTTGATAATAAACAGAACTACATCTGAAGCCAAATAAGGAGCAAGAAACCCCCCAAAAGGAGGGGTTTATCCCTTAACAGGTTTATCCCCTGTTAAAGGATCCCAGTAACATTTTGAACATTTTATAGTATTTTTGTGGAGGAATTCCTTTAGTACACGGCAAAAATAAATGTATTTTTCTTCTACAATTCATACCTTGGCTTAACAATGGCAGACCAGGTTTAACTAAACTTGCTAAAAAGAAAGAGAGCTCTATTTGCCACAGCAAACACTAATGACAAAAATAGTTGAAAATGGTTAAAAACTTTTTCCCCAAGTAGAACCAAGACTAAAATGAAGATTGTTAGTAGAGGGGGGGGCCCAACACTGAAAGTGTATTCTGCAAAAATAATTTTAATTCAAATGCAATGCAATTGCTTTACACAACCTACAACCTATTGATAGTGTAATGCCAAATCACATAAAAACCTATGTAAATTTTGCCTAACCCTCAATTTGGGTGACCCAGAACTGTACTGAACCAAGCATTACCGTATCTGTCAGTATTTGCAGATTCAGGTGCACCCCTCTTCCCATACAAAAATGCTTTCCAGAACACAGAAATGTCATTAAGTAACTCATTCAAAGTTAATTAACATATTCAAGTAATGTTTGCAGAGATACAGAATTGCACTCCTGCTCTGGGGTTAAATGCCCTGCCACTGCTACACAATTACACACTCTGCTTGCTTCATACCTGTATAGGCTGTTGTAACACTGAGAAGCATAATCTCTTTGGTGAAGCTCAGCTTTATGGATTTCTCTGTAAAGACAAAGTAATGGAAATTAATGTAACTTCTGATAACACTATTAGAGAATCTACACTTTCTTTTGCTCTTTGCTTAAAGCAAAAATAGGTTAAAGTTATGCAAACTGTGGCTTTATTACAGTAAAGAGAGTGCTAAACAAACCAACCCTGACTTGCCCTTTAAAAGAAATGCTGAGAGCTCAAACCCTTTTTTGTAAAAAATGCAAGGAGGGGAAAATATTAAAGAGGGGGTACACAGTTTTCAATTTGCAGACAATTTTCTGCTCATTGTATTTTTGCACTCTCTCTTAGTTCACGGAGACTGTGTCCTAAAAGGATAAATAAATTCTCAGTGAAGATCTCCACGTTCTCAAAACAAAATTAACAGTCATAGGCAGACCACATCAAACTTAAATGGAAACTGCAGATGCTCCCATTCAAAATCGTTGTTTTTAAGTGGTATAATTTAGCGACAAAATAAAACAACACATAACTTCTCCTTTATCCTGTTACATTAGTGATTTAAAAAAAAAAAACCAAAAAACCCACTGTCACACACTAGCTTTCCCAGGTGGTGACCTGTTCTTCTGGAGCTCATCTACAGAAGAAAGCTGTTGTCAAAGAGCTTGGATATGAAACTACATCAAGGAAGTACCCCTGACTATACTAGTACATAATTGAAATGAAGTCTACTTCACTTTCTTTGCTTGCAGTCAAGCTTTGTTTGTATGATACCATCACCTGAAAGGAGCACTTCTGAAGCACAGGCAGCCAGCTCACACCAATCACACACCAACAGTAATTTGACCACACATTAGTTCGGTGGTTCCCAAGATTTTCCAGTTGCAAGCCTTATTTTGGCTAGGCTCAAAATCGCAAATGCTCACATAGGCAACTGAATTCCTATCAGGCTCAAAACTCATCAGTCCTGTGTCTCTATGTGAACTGTCAGCTCTGGCCTGAAAACCATTGCCATCTGGCAGTCACTTTTCCAAGCAGGCCATACCTGATGGCATATATTTGAAGTGGAATAACTGAAATGCATTCTCAAAACCGTATTTGTTCACAATTTTTTGGTCTAACTGATTTGTACCAGATCACATTATCAGAATCATGGAGCGCTGGAAAGGACATGTCAGAATTTTTTGAAACCGCTCGTACTTACTGAAGGCAGCCACTGCTCTCGCCATTTTGTTTTGTGCAGACCTGGGTAAACAAATGCCTTTGTCAAAATGGAAACAGAATAATCACACTATTTCACTATGCTGGAAGGCAGTTTGGTTTTTCAGATTTCCTGTACATTTTCTAGCCCAGCATTATATACTGGAATATACTAATTTATTATTAAAAGTTTCTGAGAATCCAAACTACTAACTACAAAATTTATTTGCTTTCTGAGCTAATGAATGCCATTCAAACATAAACCTGCTTAACAGAGTCTTTCTTCTGAGCAGTTTTAGCTGTGAACATTTTTTCACTGGCATGCTTAGTGATGTTTTTGTAACATTTTCACTGTTTTTTTAGATAAAGCAAAAATATTTAAACTGATGCCTCAGGCAAAACTGTACCTGTGTACTTACACACTTCTAATGTATTTAAATATATATGTATGTCACCCTGATAGAGAAGATACAAAAACCATGTTTCAGTATGTAAAAAATAACCTATAAAAAGGGGGTAATTTCTGCTTGTTCCAGCCTTTAAACTGGGCCGATGAGGGAAAGACATACTACAAAAGGCAGGTACATGCTTAAAAATAATCAGTGAAGAAGAGCTAAATGGTATCTTTCCAAAGGCACTTACTCATTAATGGAAAAACTTGATGTGCAGTACTGCCCTCCACCCTTGAGAATGTCATATAAAGAACATTAATTTCGCTTGTTAAGGTACAGACACTTTTCTATTAAATCTATAGATTCTACATGTTGTTCATAACATTCATGTTTCCAGTGCAGAGGGGAAAGTGAATGCAGGATGTTCCATCGAGGAGCAGGAGCACAAACGAGTATATGTGACAACATGTTATTGCCATAAGCACTTACGAGCTGTCCCCCAAGATTTCATTAGCAGAATCTTCCTCCCCTGGAGCTTTTGTGTCCTCTTGCTTCCTAATCAGAAAGAACAGAACTGTGCCCACAAGACTGATAACAGTCAGAGCAATGAAGACAGTTCTACGATCACTCCCTGTGGAAAAACAAACAAGAGTCATAACCAGATGTGCAAAAGCAATTAAAACCAATTCAACCACCTTCAAAGAACTAATACAGACATACTAAGTAAGTGTTTAAAATGCATACGGATTTTCTAACTTACCTTTCATGTGGAGCAAAAGGTACGCAGCTGCTGGCAAATTCCTGTCTCAGTTTTATGATGCCAATAAAAAAAATGGCATATTTAAAGAGTGTCACTCGCATTTTCTGCCATGCAAAAGCTATGACCAAGGAGGAGCCAATTAACAAAGGAAGTGCATAAAATATTAGCAGAAGAAATCAAGACATATAATTCAGAGCGGATATAGCAAACAATCCCAAAACACTTCAAGTTTCTAAAAGAAAAAAAAAAAGTTCTATACCAGCATCAGAAATATCAGTGCTATAACATCATAAACTGGTAGGCTTGTAAACTACAAGGCCTTAAAACCACTGAAACCTCAGTAACTGACACAGCACACAACACACAGCTGGAGGAAGACAGTTGCTGCCCGATGCACCAAGCTCTGCTGCACTAACCAACTTGTTCGGCATGGGCAAGTCTGTAACACAGAAATCACTCCCATTTACAAATATTAAGCAGGGAAAAATAGCCAAGAAACAGCTAATAGTTGAGACTGAACTAGTGTAGGATTCTGAAGATATTGTATGTGCTTGTATTTACCTCCCCTTTAGCTTAAAGGTAAATGTAAAATTGTTCTACATCAATTAAAAATAACCTGTGTATGATTACAGATCAAAAAAAGAGTATGTGCTTCACCTCAAAATGCCTGTAATATTTATATAGGTAGTGAAGGAGGAATTGATTTTTAAATGCTGTTAAATCTTCTGATATCAATATTTTTTAAGAAAGAGGAGTCTCAATTTAAAGATGGAGGAAAATGCAACAGCAGAATTCCCTTACAGTTAGTTGCTCTATTCTGTGGTTAGCAAGAGCACTGAAATTTAGAATGCACAGAATTTCAGGCCCACCAGGTTCAAAATACTTTCAATAACATTTAAACCTTTGTGTTAAAAGGTGAGGGAATGTGGAATATGACCTTTAAAAATTAACCTGTGCTGTGCTACCAAGCCTGTGGCTGTGGAGAACCTGAAAAGATGGATCTAACAGAAGCATGAAGTGAACTATTCATCTCAAGAGGGCAGTATTTCTGAAGCCTGGTAATTATCATTTAAACATCAAGATCTGATTCCTGATTGCCTAGAGCAGAAGTATCCTCATCTTCTAAATGTTAAAAGAATGACCATTCTAGTAGATATTTTACTTTAAGACTACAGTAAGGAAAACTCTCACCGTCATTACAGAACAGAACAATCAGCCCTATTTGTTTACAAAAGGTTGTTTTTCCAGCAATGCTCGTTTTTTATAATTAAAATACTAGATTTTGCTCTATTTTCATCATTGTAGTTATTTAGTTGATACCCTCACCTACCTTGCCTAAACAGTTGCCAGAAATCTCTGCTTTAAAACCAGTCTCAACCACTATCCAGCTTCTTTCTGCTTTTCCAGCAGCTACTCCTGCTCTTTACCAGTCTAGCACAACGTCACATGACAAAACTATAGTATTAATTACAATCCCATCAAGAAGTTTGTCTTCATAAACTATGCCAAGAAAGGAAGACCAAGTTCTTTACACACTCTGCCAGCAACGCTGGCAGTTTAAGCAGCAGCAGCCCACTCTCAGTCCAGCTGCGCATCTCAGCCTCTTGACAAGTAACGTCTTGCTACATTACTATGTGCCAGCATAACAATTAGTGCAGCCATGAAGTGAGCTGGGATGGTTTTCCTTTCTTCTCCTTTATTTCATGGGTTAATAAGTCTCCAATCTGATTTACTAGGACAGTCTACACTAGGAACTTACTTTGGAACTGAACAGCATGTATATTAAACATACAGCCATTCCAGAATATCTTTCCCCCAAAATATGCGTATTTTGGCATAAGTGTGCCTGCACAGGGAAAAATCCCAGAGCAGCTTTTGGGGAAAACCTTATTCTAAACTAGCATTCTGAAGAATTTCATAGACAATATCCAAAAAGGTGGCACTCAAAGTGCATTGCATGCAGGAAAACAACATACATAATGCAAGGGCCACGAGTACCATGGAACACAATCAAAAACATACTCCAAAAATAGTCTATCTAAAAATAAATTGGAAAAATAGTGTCTGCTGTTGTCTAAGTTTCTTGCCACTTTCCAGTTCATCTGCTTATTCGTGCTACCATACTTTAAAGGATGACCTCCCATATAAACAAGCAATACCCACCTGATATGTGAGTTTTTCCTTGCCAAGCGAAGTATATATAGAGGTTTCCAAAAAACAAGCTGTAAACAGAAGGAACAAAGGTGAACAGCACTTTTTGCAGTAAGACTAAGGTTGTACATCACAGTAGTGCTACTCTATGCAAATATAGTACTGTGCAATTGTGAAAGAGATACAGACACTAGTCACTCTCCACGCAAACTGCTTAGTCTATATAAAACTTCAACACAGTAGAGGACTCTTCCCCCTAATGCTGGCTATTCATTTTCAGCAATCAAGATAAAAGGTGGTAGCAAAAACGAGGAATTACGCATCTAAGTTGCCCCTCTGATTTTGGAAGGGTGTGGGTTAGAAAGTTGACATATTTATGGAGATAATTTTGTAAAATTTCCTTAGAAGAGTCATGTATCTCATCTGAAGTATTGGCCCAGCAATGCTAAATTGGTTAACAGCTCAAGAGAAATTCTGCATTCGTACCTACAGTTTCCTGAAATACAGTAACTCTGAACGGATAGCGATTTTACTCCCTGTAAAACAAAGGATTACTTGGGTTTGTGGAAATCTACTACTCTGATAATCTGGAACTTAAGCAACACACAAGAAGTATGCCACTAGGTCAGACTGATGTTCTACTAATCCAGCATTCTATCCCCACAACAGCATTAGCAATGCCATCTAGTGCAGGCTCACCAGCCGAAGCACTTTCTGCAATTCATTCCCCTCATTACCTCCCAATATCCAGAATTGTTGTATCTGGGGTGGTAAATGGTATCTCTCTTCAGGAAGCATTTGTGGATCTGTTGACAATTAATTTGTTTGATCCCTTTTTGATATTGCTGACACCATCCAACTCCACACCCTACTGTGGCAGCAAGTTCCAGAAGTTTAATCATCCATTGCGTAAAGAAGCACTTTATCTGTTTCAAACCAACTCTCTTCTAGTCTCACTAAGTGATCCAAGTTCTAGTACAGCAGCATTTGGCGAGCAGCAGTTCTACTTTCAGCTCACCCGCTGCCTTCATGTTTGAGTAACCTAACAGTATAATCCTTCTTAGACACTTTTTCTCCAAAGGAAAGAGTCCCAGCATTTTTAGTCTCTCTTCAAGTCAGCTGCTCTACCTTCTTGCACATTTTTGTTATTTTTCCCTATACCCTAATTACATTACACTCTCCCAAGAGGCATAAACCACAGCCACACAAAACAGTCAATGGCAGCAACGCAGCATCCACTACCTTGTTCTTGCTACCTCTCTTGATGCCGAGCCTTTTGTTGACTTTTTTGGTTGATGCAGCACTCGAAGCTTAGTACCAGAGAACCATCAACAAGATCTCCTTTCTGACTGCTGACTGCCAGGTCCACCTTTAGTATCTTCACTTCCAACTTGTCAGTGAGCAGCAAGGACTGGCTGCTCCCTCAGGCAATGAGGGCTAAGAGTCAAGGGGGCTAACACATCCAGCAAGAGAAGGTGCCTCATCAGCTAGAGCTCAGCCCCACAGTACTCAAGCGAGGCAAGTAGGGCAGACTCAAAGATTGTAGGCAGGGTTGACCAAGAGTCCAGACCATCATGCAAGTTTGTGTTCATGAGGCAGATCTGAAATCAAGCCAGGAAGTCAGTCCACAGGCCAGAATCAGGTCTGGTGATTGCCACACAGGTCCACAGTGACAAGGCAGAACAAAGTCAAGGTAGAAAGTCAGTCTAGGTGGAGGGGTCTAGGCCACCACGATCCACAGCCAGGTATAAGCATAGCAGAAACTGAGCTGAAGAGCAGTACCACTCCAATACAGCTCCAGAGAAACTAAGTGCCAGAGCTGAGTTTAAACAGGGCTTCTGGGCCCATGGGCAGATGGGAAGGGTGTGGTGGAGGTCCCAGGTGAGATTTTTCAGGACCATCAGGACTTATTAGTGCACTCAGGATCCTGACACAAATTAGCACAGCCCTCCACAATCAACAAGATTTCTGTTACATATGTCACATGCTCCCCTAACAGAAATGTATCTTTTTGGTATGTCTAAAGTAGAGGCTTGCGATATCTAACTTTCGTTCATTGTTCTATAATGCACAACAGCAATAGAACTGTTGCTTCTAGCCTTCCCTCCCACTTCACTAACTGCAAGGTACTAGTGGAATATTTTTGATGCAGTCTCCCACTTATCAAAAAATGTAAAAAGTAGAATGTGTACACAACCAAAAAAAAGGTTAAAAATAAAGCTTACCTGGACTGCAAGAGTGCCCAAAATACTCCACTGTTCCTTCCAATGGTGTTTTCATCAGAATTTACAGTCAAGCAATTTCCCTGTGCCGTCCAGAGTACTGAAATATACAGAATACATTGCTCAGGAAACAAAAATATTTTAGGAGTATATTCAAGTGCACCAAAGAATAGTAAGCAGAGTAAGAGCAATGCTTACCAGCAGCCGCAATGCCAATAAAAACAGAAGCAGTGTAGAAAGCCCATGTAGCAGGCTGGATAAAAACTGCAATGTATAGGCTAGAATAGAACAGATCAGTTTATTGAATATAGACTTAAAGCGGATAATGCTCTTTAGCAATCAGATATCTCACTTAGCTTCTTCTAAATCAGCTACTCTCTCCAAAATGATGTTGGAAAATAGTTTAGGTCACATGTGAAAAAAGGTAATCTGTTTACTCCACTAAGCATGTAGAATTTTTCTTTTTTACATTGTCATTAATCTGAGACCACACAGCCAGCAAAGTCTGGAAATCCTGTGGAAAAAAATACACTCTGCAGTTAACACATCTACTGATACAGACAGTATCTCTGCAAGATGCCTTCCTCAGCCAGTACAATTTCATGTATGGCATGGTAACCTTAGGCGTGAAAAAATGAAAGATTTCAAAGGAAGCAGACAAAAATTCAAAATTAATACTTACCTATAAAATATGCCACTAACAACCATGGAGAGTTGAGGTCCTACTATTGCAACCACTGAAGGCGATATAAGATTTGATGCAGAGAATACCCCATAAATAATGGACATGCTACATAAACAAACAATAAAGATGATTAAGTACTTAAAATTAACTATAGGGTATGAGTGCAACTGATCTAAGAATGTTTGGTCAATTCCAAAATATCAAGTTAAGTACATATGTAACTTAAGTAACTGCATAACTTTAATGGTCAAATATTTCCTTCTGTTATCTTATCCCATTGCACTCTGTATGGGAATACAGGAGCGCACACTGTTTCTTAGATTGCTGAATAGAGTCCCAAACTATTGCAGGCAAGTACGTCTTGTAATGTACAACACACATTTGTCAAACCAGGCCTTAACAATAGTTACTGTATTTTGTGCCCAGTACTTTTAGAGAATGTTCCAGATCCTCATTTGTCTATCAGTGAGGTTTTCATTTTCTGCCAAATATACCACAAATTTTATAGATATATTTTGTGCCAGTTGTATTTTTAGTTTAAATTAAGATAGTAAACCCTTCAAAGCAGCAACCAGGTTTTCCTGTATGACAGATTATTTTGGTTTACAAAAGGTCCCTGATCATGCTTGGTGAGTTTGGCTATGCCAGTGCAATGAACAAACAGAATGGCTTTTCATGGTTTTGCTGTTTGTCTGACTGCTCCTTTCACATTTATGTTGCAGTATTTCCTGGAAGTTGATCCACATCACCTATCCTACACACAGAGAGGTGTACAAGGGCAAACAACCAGGGCCTTAGTTAGCAGTTTTATTTATTTTAAAACGTCCACTTCATCTCGTAAGATAAAATGCTGAGAATGTGATGACTGTATGGTGTTTCTTCTCCCTATAGAGAAAACATGCAAAGCAAATACGTAGTTCAACTAGAAATAATTCAGAGTAGAACTAGAGTGAATGTGAGAAGCCTATGATTTAAACTGCTTTAAGTATGTTAACATATTGTGAAGTCAGCAGAACACTACTATCTCTTCAGAGTATATCTCTACCAGGTGGAATGATAACTAGCTTCACCCTCCAAGGAGCAAAGTAACAAGATCTGTGTAAATTACCTTGTGTAGCCACTGCCATGAAAATCAGTGTTGTTTAAATTTGTGATAACAGTTTGCTGTGAGGAGAAAATCATACATTGTAATATGTTAGAATATATCTTGTAGTTTGAGAACACTTGCATCTGCTTGAAGTCAGTATCAAACATTAGAATTGATTATTAATAGACTCTACAAAGTACTTAATTTAAAGTATTAATTACAACTCATAACACCTCCACGATGAAGGTGAAGGCGATATTTGGCAGGGAAACACCTATGTTTGAAGCAGTAATTAGTCGTTTAGGATTACATTATGATTTCATCAGAGACCTTAAAATATTTCACAAAACTTTTGTTTCACTAAACACCTGTCTTAGGTAGATATGTATTACTATCTTAATTTAAAAAGTGGGGAAAAAAGGAGAAGTTTCAAAATACTCTTAATTTGACCTAACTATATGAGCTTCTGATAAGAGTTTCCGTTCTTTTCGGCCTCCCGTTATTTCCCTGTTCCTTTTTTTCCCTTGAATCAGCTTTAATGATCATGAGACCATGTAATTAGTTGGGTTTGAGGGCAGATCTGATTGAAACTCACTTGTAATTACTTTAATGACAATAAATTACATGATTGCATGATCACTAGGTCCAATTCAGTGAGGTGCTGTGAATTCATTGCAGAACTTCTAAGAGCACACGGCTATACTTATGTACTCCTAAGTACAGTATCATGCTGCACTATGACTTTTACAAAAACTATTCTAAGTAGTTATTTCTTTAATGCAGTGAAGGACATTTGCATATCTGAACCCAAAAAGGATACTCCTTGCATGCAAGAAGAGAGAAGCTGCAAGACATATGTTGAAATCTAACTGTCTTTCAGGCATATAACTAATATTGAAAGCAATGTCAGCCACTCAGTAAGTTAGAGGATCTGGGCTAAGTATGTCAGCAGCAGGTTTCTAAAAATTTAAGTAGTAAGAGTGCAATCTGCTTTTAATAGTAAATTTGGATTACATTATGCCCAATTGTGCTTCAGCATGCAAAGGGATACACAATACTAAAGCAGTAAATTACTTATTCAGATGGAAGGTGACTTGGCAGTTCTAGCAATTGTGGAAGTCTGACTACTTGTCAGATGTTATCCTCATACTCCCCCTCAATGTCTTGTTTGTTAGATCAGAAAAATGTTACATAAGGAAAAACACTCTAGGAAAAACTAGGGGCATGGTTAATAATAACAACTTAGGCAAATATTTTGAGAGGGACTACATAGAATAATCAGAAATATGGCAGGTCCAGTGTAATTCAATTGTTAATATCTCAAGTGTCAAAACAGACACTATTTTAAAGTTCAAACATTTGATAACATTCATTAATTTTCTACTTTCTAAGCAATGAGGTAGTTACATATGTAGCTATGCTTTCTTAAAGAAATAAACTGCTTAATTATCCAGTTAACCAACTTAATTTAGTTAACACTAAACCAAAAGAAAGGAGACAAAATATCAAGGTGTCTTGCACATTAAAAATATCCTAAGTAAAGCAACTCTCACACTAGAGTACATAAAAGACAAGAAAGGATTAATAACTGTGATAGAGATGTGGCATGTTTTGAAATTCACACCTACCGCAATATTTCCACATGTTTGGAAAGCAGTGAATATAAACATAAATGAGACTCCCAGAATAATTATGTTGAAAAGTTTTTTTGATTCAGGAGACATCTTGTCTTTTCTTGCCAAGTCCTCAGCTTCAGTCTGGAAAAGCTCTATTTTCTTTTAAAAGTTTCCTCTTAATCTCTATTAAAAGCAAACAAGCAAAAAGAATAAAACAAAAAAAGAAAGCTTCAAAAATGACAATTACTTAGGGCTACTTAGTAGCTGCTAGGACATAACCATCAACTACTCAAAAAATCTGGTAACCCTCTTAAATAATGTACAGCAAAATCTGTAACTTGAAAAAGAAAAAAACAAAGAAAGGTCTGGTATGAAAGGTAAAGATCAAGATTCTCTCTACCTTTTCCCATGAAGTTAGCAGGGCAGACTGCAGTATGTTACTTCTTCATGACATCTCTTTCCCCCCAACAAAGCAGTTTTCCAGAGACCGAGCTAGTTAATCAGCTCAGTGTCTTGCCATTGTTCTAAATCAGACTTCTGGTCCAAAGCCTTTAAATCACCTGACGAAGGAAAGATGAGACATTCGTACACAGGAGTCATTTCCATGCATGCTGGACAGGAAGTAAGGAACATTTCACAATCTAGATCAGCTGACCCAGCCTAGAAAGCCCTTGTGCACTATGGGAAATGCAGTTTTACATAAGTTTTCTACTTAAAAGGGTAGAAGTCTCCTAATCCTTAAAATAAAAAGATTGGTACTAGTTTTTAAGCATTATAACCTCCATCCACTAAATAAATACCCAGCAAAATAAAAAAAGTCTTAGAAAGGTGTCTAAGAAAACTGTCTAATTAGCTGAATTGAAACACACACCAAGTCCTTCCAAAAGGAAAACAATTCCCACCTGGGAGAAACTGTATACCTCAGTGCTACCAACACACATGCCCTGCACAGTGCTTCTGCCTTTCGCTGTCTCAGTGACTCGAGAGAGGAAAGAGGCTTCATAATCTTTCACTGTTTTGTCTCGAGGAACAAGGTTTGTTTTTAGCAATTACACACTCTTAATATTTTACTTCACAGTATTTTTTAAATAATAAATTTAAGATCAATTGATCTTTAAGTTTTTAAGATCTCTGTTAAAATGTCAGCAAAATGGAACCAGAAGATCACACATCTTTTATTGATTATTTTACCGTTACTATCTTCTGACTGTTCTGTTGGGCCTCCAAGTCAGGATCGGAGCATTCAGCTACATCAGCTCCACTTAACTGCTGGCCAAAGAAGAAGGGAAGGAAATGCAGGATTGAAGTAAATGACCAATCACCAAATTTTACCTCCACTATCTCCAGTAAAGGACTTAGATAAAATCTGCATCCCAGCTATCTTATTTTAATTCCTGAGTTGTATTTTCTAAAAAAAATGTAGGGCTTTATCCAACAGTATTTATTCTTTACTTGTGGGAGATAGTCAGTAAGATTGTTCCAAGGGTACTTTACAAAGATCCAATTAGAATATCAAGGCAGTATTTTAACAAAAGCAAAACTCTCTTCTTTGTTTTCTACATTATAAGTTTACAGTAACAGATTTTAAGATCCTCTAGGCATTGAGTCCCACTCACACCTTCTTCCCCTTGTGCTAGCATAAGCACTCATCTAGCTGCACAGCAAACTGGGCTGGTGTGCTAGACCACTTCTCTTGGTAGCAGCATGTGTCAATTTGAAGTGATTGTAAAACTAGTGAATAAGGGACACAGGAAACTTCCTCTATCATTTTAAAGATAAACTTCAGATTTCTCCTTAGAGAAAGGGTTTCAGCAGATGAGTCAGAGAAGTTTTAATCAAAATCCTCCAGGAACAAATAATGAACAATATAGCATGAAGCAATATAAAATGTACAGTAGTAGCTTATGTGTTTTCTTAAGTCTTTTATAGCAGGAAACTAACTGTCGCTTCCAGGTTTGTATTGATGTCATTGCTTATTTTTCTACTTCTTCAGTACAAAAAATATTAAACACGATTACACTAAGGATTTAAATTCCAATACCAAATTTGCTTTCTCCTATCACTACTGTCATTGCACTAAACAAATCAGTAGAGAACTGTCTCTTTTTTGTTTCTATTGTTTTTTTAACATAGCATTACAAAACAGATGGGTAGAAACATTTATCATTGTTGTAATACAAGAATTGACTATTATAGTTCATACTCGGAGCTCGGGCATTTTACTGAGCGCCTGAAACGACACAGCAACAACTTCTGGGGTGAGGGAGCAGCTTTCACCAAGCCCCCCGGACAAAACTCTGGAAATCTGCTTGTCGTCCTTACACAAGGGCCATGCTAATCCTCATCCTTGTTCCCATTTTACCAGACATGCTGCTAAAGCATGAACTTGCAGAGAGGGCTGGGTGGAAAGGAGGATTTCTGACGTTTCCCCGCTCGGCCCACAGCTCTCTCACAGGCACCGATGCAGCCGGTGGAGATCGCCTCGCCAGCGGCGTGCGGGCTGAAGGCTGCCTACACGGCTCTGCCCCCGCACCACAGCGCGCATCTACCGCGGCGCGTCCACAGCTGCACGCACCGAGCCGGCCTCACCAGGCACCACTGCTGGCAGGAGGTGAAGTAGACCAGCCAAGCGCCCACGCCGGCCTGCCAGGCCCCCTCACTGCGGAGACCGGGGATCGCACCCGCCTGCAGCGGGAACAGGAGAGGCACAGAGCTCCCCCGGCAACTGCCCCGGAAAGAAGCGCCCTCGCCTGCCTCACCCTCACAACGCTGTCCCATCCCCATCCGCCATTTTAAACTGTCACCTCCCGCTCCCCCGCCCGCGCGAGAGGCGCTCCCCATCGTCAGCGCAGTTTTTTTTCACGCGGCGGGGGTTTCCCGCCCCTCCTCCCCCTAGCAAAGACAGGCTTCGTCTTATTTCCGTTTTTTTACCGTTTTCGGCACACATTGTTCAAAATTTCCCCGCCTCCGCCGAGTCCTTCCGCACGACGGAGACGCCTTAACAGTCACTTTCAACGGCAGGCGAGTTATTAATTTAGAAGACGATTTTTCGTGTGCCCTCCAAGGCCGTCTCCGGGATTCGCGGCCGGTAAGGAGGAAAAAGAACGACAAGGCCGCGCTCGGGGAGGTCGCCGCCAAGCGAAGGGCGGGCGCGGC